CCCGGGGGGGGGGGGGGGGGGGGGCGTTACCTCCAGAAACCGCACTTTTCGCCACCCAATTTTTGGCAACAAAGGATTTGCGTGATTTATTAAAAAATGATATTTTACAATAAATATTAGGATGGGCTACAAAGTATGAAGTTTCAATAGCCTCCGTTATAATTTAAATAAATATTTTAAAACATTGAACTCATGTTTAATGACTATATGTCAATTATTGGTTAAAAATGTCGGTGTCTCTATGAATGCTACTATTTATTAAAAAGACAACAGCTCAATTTGTATGTTAATGAGTTTGAACTCCATTGGTGGGATGGTGTATGGGTAACTTCTGTTTGTGGATACATGATGATGCCTGTAGTGTTATAATTTGTTGGCAATTTAGTGCATGAATACAGTAGTAGGAAGTCAGGTGACCTTGACAAGCAAGGCTGTAGGAAAAGCTTATTCAACCAAGCCGGTTTAACTTGAAGCTGGATAATCGACGAATTCACCCTTCGTCAACGATGTTCGTATACGTATACGCAGTGTATATACATCGCACATGTTATACCCAGTTTGTGGTGTAGCTTTGTTCATATGTTGTCTGGGCTGGTATGTGGTTAGGTTTCCTGGGTTGGGCTAGAAATTCTGTCGCAGTAGAGACTTCAGTAGTCTTCAGTAGCCATGATAAGCAACGCGGTAGGAAAGGCAGATAAGTTTAAAACCGTTCTGTCACTTATAGGCAGCAACGATTTTGCCACGTTTTGCTGACGACGAAGAAAAGCAGTGAGCTCTATATACACCTGGAGCGAGGACTCGAGTGAAAAAAAGTGAAGCTAAGATGGCGGAAATAGGCGCCAGTCCCTTTTTTGTCTGCGCGGTTAATACAAAGCTGCAGGGATAGTTCGTGTTTTTACTTCGATTTAAAGAATAATGCCATGGTTTTATGAATTGATAACTTGATTGGCGATGCGGTCCGTTAGAAAAACTGGAATTAGCTGGGAAAGTGGTACACTGTGTGTTATGGCACAGATTGTGGACGTCAATTCCGCGGCCATCTTTGCTTCACTTTTCTTACGGGTGGAGTAACTGAATTTCTTGCGCCAGATATAGAGCTGACTGGAAAAAGTCTCCTCGCGCGTAATAATTCGCTGTTATAGGCTACGTTTCCAGTTAAACATATATATTCTTAATACCTACGTAGACGCACGGAAACGTTTAAAGCCATTTAAATCTTAATAATGAAATTCACATAAGAACAGCATGTAGGACGCTTTCCATTAACACGTCGAGACCTGTCACAACGCTCATTTTTAGTGTGAAGTTTCACTTCACACTATTGTGATGGCTGGCGAATTCACACGAATCAGTCAGTCAGTCAGTCAGTCAGTCAGTCAGTCAGTCAGTCAGTCAGTCAGTCAGTCAGTCAGTCATAGAGTAAACTTTCCGGGGGGTGTATACGATTTATGTTCGTAGTGATTTATTGTACTTAGTCAGTACTTTGAAGGTTATTTAGGCAATTTCAGTTAACTTATTTACATATTCTGTTATCCTTTTGCCAAGTTCACAAAAATTTCGGGGAAACGCTTTCGTTATTGTATTTTTTTATAAATTTTAGAACATTCGCTTCTCATGTTGTGTAAAGGATCTTTACCCCGGAACACCCGATTTTTTTTAGTAGCGCAAATGCGCATGCGCTATCAAGCCGTAGATCACGATGGCGTGACGATATGCTAGGAAGGAGTGACAGTGTTGTTTTCAAATGTATAAAGATTTCAGACGTGAATATTGTGTAAATCTTTGAAAATCTACGCAATATATAAATTGATCTTATGAATTACGGGCGTTCAATTAAGTGCCGATAATATTTAGACGGTATATTCATTATACAGAGCTAGGAAGGAGCTAGACCGCCTAGACAGTGCAGTCAAGTGTGTAAACATTTCAGACGTAAATATTGAGTCGAATATATTGATTCTAGGCATTCATTTGAGTGCCGATATTATTTTCACGGTATTCTCATTATATAGAGGTACAGTACGTAGGCAGAAACGAGACAGTGTTGTTTTCAAGTATATAAAGATTTCAGACGTGAATATTGAGTAAATCTTTGAAAATCTACACAATATATAAATTGATCTTATGCATTACGGGCGTTCAATTTAATAAGTGCCGATAATATTTAGACGGTATATTCATTATACAGAGCTAGGAAGGAGCTAGACCGCCTAGACAGTGCAGTTAAGTGTATAAACATTTCGGACGTAAATATTGAGTCGAAAATCTTGCTTCTAGGAAGCGAGACTGTTGTTTTCAAGTATATAAACATTTCAGACATGAATATTGAGAAAATATTTGAGATTCTACGCAATAATAGTAATACAATATATAAATTGATGTGATGCATTACCGTCGATATTATTTAGACCGTGTATTCATTATACATTCTCATTGACTGTATAAGGTGCTACATCACAGAATAGATGGCTATTGAAATCTAAAGTGATATTTATATTCAACACATGCGAAAAGCTGAAAATAGACACACGTCACACTGGGAAAAGTCAAAGGTCAATGAAACTTGTTATTGTGAAACATGTCACAATTAAGTTAAAATGCGGGAGCGGATCCACGGAACGGATATGCGGATAAAATACGGAACGGATGAGGATAAAATGCGTCTTTTAATGATGTAACGACGTAGTGCTTATTATTCATAACATATCTTATACAGCTATTTCAATTATAGTTTATTAGATAAATTTAGCATAGCAGTAGCCTCGTGGGGATGCTTTCAGCGACAGCTGCAAATGCAAATGAAAATTTACAATATGCAAAATTTGGTTGTTGGTGACACAATAAATAGATGAATTGCATCAGTTTCACAAGGCACGTTTCTGGTGTGTTAGGCTTGTTTCAAACGTCACGCTACTCGTGTGCCGAGCGTATTAAAAGCAATAAATAATGAGATGAAATGCCTTTGGTAACTGTTTATTTCGTAGTGTAAGCCATCAAGCTTTTCTAGGTTGTCGGCGACCCTATATAGTTCTTGCAGTTTGAAACTTCACACTATCCTTGGATCCCTAGTTTTAATTGAAAACAATACATTTGGACTTCGGTGCAATCTGATCCGAAAATTTGGATCAATTTTGACGGAGATCTATTTTGATGGAGATCCATTTTCGCCTGAACCAGGTCTTCCATTAATACAGAGAGAGAAATTCTGTTCTGACCGGTGTTGCCATTATATTGAAAGCGCCGTTTTATTGTGTATTTGTTGAGGTAATACTTGTTTCGTGATTGAGGCTCTATAGCCAAAGTGATGTACTTTCCGGTAGGGTGCATGTATGATCACTTATATAAAATTTAGAAAGATATAAACTTTTCCGTGCGTATATTCATACGTATTAAAAACAGAACGCTTAACTGGAATGCAGCTTTAGAACGTAAAATTGCAGTCGTTCAGTACGAGTCGTCTATTTCTCTCTTCGCCTTTAACATTGCTTCCTGGGTTATCTGTGCACACCTGAATCAACTGTGAGGTCACAACTACGTTTTGATTGTGTTTTATCACCAGTTAGTTGTCTTATGTCAACGTATCTTGCTAAGTCCGAAACGACCAGCACATCGTATTCGACTTTCTCCTCGTTATTCATAATGACGTCATAACCGGACGGCTCACAGAGCTTTATCTCAATCTTAGGTCCTAGTTGCTTACGTGTCTGTACACAAGTGTATGACACGTAAATAAGATATGCCGTTAAAAGGACGGTAGCTATGCAAGCTGCGAGAATAATCGTCTTTCTTTTGGGTAGGCCAGTACCCGAGTCTTCATGTATTACATGAGATGATAATGACAGAGGTGGGAGTGTTAAAGACTTTCCAGAGTGGCTGCAACCTCCTTTATTACAAGCTACCATCGCAATCGAATATGTCTGATTTATTGAAAGACCTGTCAGTAAGGTTTTGCCTTTTGTTGTGTTATTTCGTATTGGTATTTTAATAATATTTGCATAATCTGAAGAGTTTTCTGAAGATTTTTCGAGACCATTGTGGTACAATATTCTCACTTCGGTTAGGACTCCTTTCCAATCCCTGCGCGGTGGTAGTGTCCACGTGATTGACACATTGCGCGTGTGTGCATCACGCGTGGATTGACACTTGTTACCTGAGCACGTTATATTTGGCGCGCTATTCGGCGGCTCTTCATGAAGCCGGATATCTTTGCACAGAGGTTCAGAGTCTATCCCGTCCTCTTGGTATATTATGGCTGTCACGCAAAACCGACACAAGTCGTAAGGCTTGTAGTTTTGAAAACTGGCGCTATTCAATGTCAGCTTTGGCTGAAATAAATATGCTGTCGTGTCCCATGTCGAGTCTCCTGAGCATTTGTAACGCACTCTGTACATTCGTATTTCGGTATAGTGTACGAGCGGTGTATCAGACCAGATGAGCGTTATCTGATGAAAATAAAAAAGTAAAAACATAATTAGTTTGTTTATTATAAATTAATTCTATTAATTAAGATGCGCAATGATGGTTTACCAGTAATTTTGATCGCCCTGTGCCAGTGTATAGGTAGTGGCAATAATAAGGCCCCGTTTATATGAGACCGGGACGAAGTCAAACCGGAATGAAAATTGAAATCAGTGTCAACATGTTTACATGAGACTGGTACGAAAATCACAAAATTTTCAATTTATTCCCCTTTGCCACTTGCCAGGCAGTTTTCTTTTTTAGATGGCTTTTGTTAGCATGTGTTGTTCCAATGTCAAGGTTACGGCCGAGACCGGTCTGAAATGTATTTGTGTTTACATTCATCCCAGTCAGAATTCATGCCCGGTCTGAAGTCAGCTACCTGAAAAATACAAGGAAAACTTGTATTCTTCACGTAGTTGTATCCACATCAATCCGCCCTTTCTGCCTTTCTTTACCAGTAATTGTCTATGATATAATAATACCCAAAGTGTTTACGAAGTTTAAAGGCCATAATGGGAAATACTAGTGTACCAGTTGTATGTAATTACGTATATTTAATTTTTACCCACTGATCTGAAAAGTATACTGGACTGGCGTTTTGTTTCAATTGTAACAAGATAGATACTCTATCCAGTTTTATCAGTAGGTCAGTGAGGTTAAAAAAGGTGATTACTGAAAATTACTACTACATAGGTGATTACTGAAAATTCTCCACGCTGATTGGTTGCCATTGAGGTGATTATTACGCGATAATCACCTAAGCGATTTTCAAAATGGCGGCCGAAGCCTTTTTGTCAATTAAATGACGAAGAAATGTGTATTTTCTTATTTTTTCCCAAATAATCACCTATGAAATTATAATAAACAATTATTCACCTCAGGCTCGGTGATTATCGTGAATAAAAACCTCGACTTCGTCTCGGTTTTTATTCACCGATAATCACCTCGCCTTCGGCGAATAATTGTTAATTAAATTGTATTACAGCAAAAAAATGCGAAATTCTGTATTCAATTACAATAAAAATGACTTGCATCATCGGAAAACGTACAAAAAACCGAATATAAGACTTTTAAACAGTTTTTTGAATTTTCAAATAGTCCTTGAGTTATTGCTGTTTTAAATGTGAAAATTGGACCAAAATGTCGCAATAAGGACTGGGTACTAGGTCAAAAACGCGTTTTTGACAGCGTATAACTCGAAAACAATTATAGATATAAAAAATCTGTTTAAATGTCTTATATGTAGGTTTTTGTAAACTTTCTGATAATGCAACTCATTTTTGTTGTAAATGAATACAAAATTTTACATTTTCTTGCTGTATAATACAATTTAATAGAGGATAATCACTGATCGCCCATTTTCTCGGTGTTGGGCAGGTTTTTTGCTTGGGAACTTTTTGTGGTAATTAAGCATCTATGGTTCTATGAATTGAACCACAGAAAATCTATTTCCCAGTAGGGTGCCACGAAATTGCTTTTCTAGGCACTTTTTTGCACAACAGCCCACGGCCTATAAGCGATTCTGGGTATCGTGTATTAACTGGGTCTGAATATCTGACTACAACAAGAAATAATTGAGTAAAAAAGTGAAAACCTTGTATTGTGGTCACGTGGATATAGATAAATGCAGGGTACACACGTAAAAATGCAGATGTTGTTACAGGTCTGCAAACATGTTGTTACAAATCTTTTCCCAAGCTGTCAGCAAGTTGTGTTCGCACTGCTTGTTCCCAGTTTTTGTAACAAGTTTGAAGCAAGCTGTTAACAACTTATAACAAACTTGCATGATTGCATTATCAGACTTGTTGCAAGGTTCTAACAAGTCTGATACAGTCATGATATAACAAGAATGTTACAAGGGTGACGACACAATGTCGTAACAATATTGTTATATCATGACTGTATCGGACTTGTTAGAACAACCCTGCAACAAGTATCATAATATCAACAAGGTTGTTACAAGTTGTTAACAGTTTGTTCCAAACTTGTTGACAGCTTGGGACAAGCAGTGCGAAGACAACCTGTTGACGACTTGTTGGCAGACTTGCTATAATATGTGAAATTTTTGCGTGTGTATCCCACCGGGCGACAGATGAACACTTAATTGTTGCCCGCTCCGACCAGCTACCTACATAAAGCACGTTTTTCCGGCGACAGTTAAGCTTTTTAAGTTTAGATATATGTAATGATCACCATATTAGTAAAAGAATAACAAAAAATAGCAGTATCTAACGGAGAAGCAAAATACACAACAGGCAACGCAGAATGCGGCCGAAACCCTTTCTATATCTGGTTCTTTGTTAAAACATTTACCTTACAAAGTTTTATTCATGAAATATCATTGTTTTGTAACTGCTGTTTATGTTTTTCTTCGTCGCTATGCAACAAGACACTAAAGCCCCGTTTACACTACGCTCAATTTTTGGTACGGCACGGATAAAATTGGCACCCGTTATACCACTTTTTTGGTTCTTACACTACGCTCAATTTTTGGTACCGTACCACTTTTTGGTTCTTGGACTACCTAAATAGGTAGTCCAAGAACCAAAAAAGTGGTACGGGTACCAATTTTATCCGTGCCGTACCAAAAATTGAGCGTAGTGTATAAACGGGGCTTTAATGGCAGTTCCATCGGGAATTAATTTTGTTTTCGTTCGAATCTCAATGTTTATCTTGATTTCGTCTCGGCAAACAATGAAACTCTCGGGAAAACAAAACTATTCCCCTCGGGAGCCGAGACATTAGGAAGTGTATAATATGAGCGCCAAACTCTACAGTATTGCGAAAGGAAGAACATTATTCGTCTAACGTATTAGAGTGGAAAGTAGTGCTTGTAAAGGCGGACGTCTATTGTCTAGTAATATCAAACTGCCGTCATATTCTACACCTGCGAAGAATGAACTGCACTGTCTAGTATTATATTCAGATATGTTAGTTAAGATAGACAATTTCCATTATAAACTAATTTTAAAACCATAGGCAAGGAGATGCAAATAAATCACAGCTATAGAAAGAGCATACTAGAATGAGTAGAATTACAGAGTTTGGTTGCGAAATGTTGCCAAAAAATGCGGAAATTATAGCCTTGCAAAGTTCGCAAATTTTGCATACTTTTGTATGCGTGCGGAAATTGCCACTACATTTGGGCCGAAAATGCATACTAGCAATTTTCGCACGCAATACAAAAGTATATACAAAATTTGCAAACTTTGCATGGCTATATTTCCCGCATTTTACAACATTTCACAACCAAACTGTGCAATTTTAATCATTTTAGTATGCTCTTTCTAGCTGTGGTAATTTATTTGTTTCTCCTTGCCTAGTTTTAAAATTTAATAGTCTGTAATGGGAACTGTCTATTAAACTTACCTCGCGTGATGCACGCGGAATGCCACGTAACCTTATAATGGGGGTCGGGGTCAGAATCACCTCAGTGATGTGAGTGATGTCCGGTTCTAGAAAAGGATTACGAAAAGGGTTGATTTGGAATGTTTTCTCATCGCTGCATCTCTGTTCACAAATTTCCCCTTCTACTCTGCTGCTTATGTACGCTCTAAAATTGTGCGTTGTCAAATCCAAGTTCATTGCCGTGCACGTGAAACCCTTTGTGTTGGGCAAATTGTATACATCTTTCTCCCGGTGAAAACATGAACTGTTTAAATGTATTCTTTTATAATTCAGACAAACGTGGTTCAATTCTAGCACTTCTGGTTCCGAACAAACATTCAGAGAGTACTCGGCATTTTCTGAAGACGTAATTGGCCTCCAATATAGGTCAAGCGAATCGAGCAGCGGTCTTTCCATCAAGCGAAATCCAATAATATTGCACGGAACCGGTGATTTAACTTTTACCAAACTTGAGGAATTTAGGGAAGATGCCTTCGTATTGCTCGCGTTATTTGCGAATCGACTTGCTACGCAGGTAAATAACTTGTCACCCGACCAAATGGCATTTAATCTTAAATGCGTTGTCAAATGTGAATTTTGCTGTTTCTGTGTCACATTTTTGGTAAAGATTATCCCTTCAGAGTACCATGATAGAGTCCACTTTTTGAAACTTTTTTTCCTTCCATGGACTGCTAGGGTACAGCTTAGTGTTAATGAGTCGTCTCTGTTAGCGCATATTTGTCTCTTTCCTACGCTTAAAGTTACCAAAGGTTGGTTAAAATCCTGTGGAACCGTTCCCTGTATTTGTGTCAGCAAGAAGTTTATCAGTATTGCGACAAACCACATCAAACACAACATAATAGGATTTAAATTCTTGGTAGTCGAAGTTTTGTTCTTGTATAATCGATGGCGTATGCATTATACTGCAGCATTAGTCTTCCGGTTATAATGTCTGCAAAAGACTTTTTACGTTTGTTATAGTATCGTCACGGAAACCCGTCCTTGGCCGGAAGTCTGTTCCTACGCATTCTGCGCTATTATCGTAAGTGCTACTCAAAGTCAAAGAGACACATATTTTCTACAATAATCTGCTACTGAAACTTGATGTAAAAGAAAATTTCTTTCATTGCATAGTGACAATAAATACAACTATAGTCTATAAATAATATGTATGACATGAATATTGAAGTAACGTTTACAATTGGGGACTTTGGCGGTACGATTTTTTCTGGCATATTTGTTTTCGTGATATCTTGACATAAAGCGGCCAATTGTGGGTTAATTGCACGCCTCGCTTAATTGCTGAGTAATTGCGCCTATAAGTATGCATGCTATTTGTATTCTTCTACCCTCTTGTTTTAATTTGTGGTGTATGCATGGCATGGGTGCGTGAGTCTATAGAAGCACGCATTTCAGACACTTGAGAAAGCGAATAAATATTTACACAAATAAATATTTACACAAACGAGTCAATGTCTGCAAATAGCATATTGAATTTTGTTTATATATCGTAACATCATTTGGAGGTTGATTTTAAATTTCTTCTGTCTGTCATAATTTGTAAATAATGATGGAACAAACTTTTAACAATCATGCACAGATAATTTGAATAATTGGTCAATTTTTTATATTGATTAAAGACCATGTAAAGTCCGTTCTGCGCATACGTTCTGCGTTCTGCGCAGACCATTCCTTAAGCATGTACGACGGCAACGCGACGACGACAGCCAAAACAAACTTCTTCAAATAAATTATTGCGAAGAAGAGTTGTTGTGTATTATACACTACATGTATATATGAACTGAGTTCAGTTTGAAGAGATTAAAACAAAGGCTTTATGGTTAAAAACGCTTCTGCTGAGCAAATTTGTAGTTTCACTTGTCGCATCTTACATGGTTGCGTTGTACACGAGACGTGAAAATCTCTGGTTTGCCGTTGTAAAAAGCCCTAACACAACGCCTCTAACTCCCATGGGGCTTTTAATTATTCATTTATTTTGTACTAGATCAGGAATATCATTGTGTGAATAGCCGTCGTTGTCGCGTTGCCGTCCTGTTTGCTTAAGGTCCCTATTGGGGTCGGGACCCGACCGTTGGAATGTTTTTAATATTTCGTATCTTTTGAACTTTCTTGAATTGAATCTCTAGTCTGTATTCATTTACAAGCATAGCGAACCAGAAGAGTGTTAAAAATTCAGTATAATATATATCTAATCATATTTTACAACTGTAGCACTGAGTTCAAAATGTGAACAAAGCGTTTGTTTACATTACGGACTTTACATGGTCTTTAAAGCTTTTTTGTAAAGATGCAAACAGTGTGTTAAATAACTGCATAACATTACAAAATGTTGATTTCCGACCTCCGTTTTGATCACAACGTTTATATTCTTATATCATCCAGCTTTATCTGCCGTTTCATCTGATTTTGCCTCTACAACATGCCTATATATAAAACGTAGATTTGGTCATGTAAAGAAGCGAAGATCTGGGATCGTTTAGCTACAAAATACGAAATTGTGAATTATTGTAAATTAGTTCTTACAAATATCTTCTTATCTTTTTAGTTGATCAGGTTATACCGTCTAAATAAATTTAAAATGAACTGAAATAAATGCAACTGGAGAATGCTATGGATCTTACCATGCAAGGACGTCGCCACAGGGGGAGTGTGCATGGGGAGTAACGACCCGCCTCCCCCAATCATTTTCAAGTTCAAAACGTTGGTCAAAATGAAAAATATTTGGTCAAAATATGTTTGGTCTCTTGTTGGTTTATCAACTATGTTTACAGTGCCAAAATGTTCGCCAAAACTTTGTTAAAATATCAAGACTCCCCCCTACCCTAATGTTAATGACTTAGCAACGTCCCTGGCCCTTGTATCCTCAGGAAACCTTCTATAATATTTTGAGGTCGAGGGTAGGATATGCGTAAGATGGGTGAGTTGCTTCATGGTTCTTATATACGTGTGCTTAACGAGTACTCATAATAGACAATTCTCATTATAGACTAATTTTAGAACTAGGCAAGGAGATGCAAATAAATCACCACAGCTAGAAAGAGCATACTAAAATTAGTAAAATTGCAAAGTTTGGTTGCGAAATGTTGTAAAATGCAGAAAATATAGCCTTGCAAAGTTTGCAAATTTTGTATACTTTTATATTGCCCGCGGAAATTCCTACCACATTTGGGCCCGAATGTGGTAGGAATTCCGCACGCAATACAAAATGACTGAAAATTTGCAAACTTTGCAAGGCTGTATTTTCTGCATTTTACAACATTTCGCAACCAAACTTTGCAATTTTACTAATTTTAGTATGCTCTTTCTAGCTGTGGTGATTTATTTGCATCTCCTTGCCTAGTTCTAAAATTAGTCTATAATGGGAATTGTCTATTGTAGCTGATGGTGCTTGGTTCATGTCTCCTGCATCATGCACTTCGAGGGCTTTTCTCCGGTTACTCCCGTCCGGTTTTCTCCCTCACTAAAAAGTATGTTATATGAAGTATATACAGTACAGTAAACACATTTGTTATTTTCTCAATGATTTAGGCCTTCGACGCATAAAACAGGCTTTAGTTAAATCAACATAGGCCTATATGTCATATTTAATACTGAATTTGGGAAATTCAACGTCAGTGAAGACGTGGTCATCAGGAATAGCTTTTTTATATACTCTTAAGAGAAAGGCGACTATATTAGGATTATAGCTATGTTATTTGCATCATTGTCACGGTTCATAACCACTTCAAGTCTTCGACAGTTAAAACGATCGTAGTAAATTATGTAAATTCACTGACTATTGGTACTTAAGGCTTGTTTGAAAGAAAGATAAGTACTTTCAATAAGCAAATAAAGTTTAGTAAGTTATTTCGTTTTTTCCGTTTTTGACAAGGCGGCAACGCGCGCAGCCATAACTACGTTGGTTGGATGTGTGACGTGTCAGTGTCTAGATGAAATGCTAGCTTGTGACACTCAAAGAAGAGTCGTGTCTTCGTCCATATCGACTTGGCACAAGTAAAAGTAATATGTATAGACGAAGAAATATAAGACTCAAGATTAAGATAGGGGTGTTACCTAGCTCAAACGTCATCACGATATAGGGCGCCTTCAATTAGGAGTACTGCTAAGGTGGCAAGGCTCCGCAGAGCCGTATAATTATAGCTAGCTATATCCATGCCTCATAATTTGCAGGTGTATAGCCCGCGTGTTTGACTGTGTGTACAAGGTAGCTAGCCTTCGGCATGTTTACTGACCAATGTGTTTAACTATATACGGCTTTGCGGAGGAGTGTCGTTACTATTATATGGAACTGAGAATTAAGCTTTAAATTAAAAATAAAGTAGAATATAGCCATTTTGTACTCGTACGCCTTGAATTTGGAATATTAAGTTATGTGACTAATATATAAGATCTACATTATTGCTACATTTAGCAACACCTATCCGTACCCTTTTAGAAACTATTTTAGCTGTGTAGCTATTTTCAGAGGAATTAATGCAACGGGCAGATGTTTCGGTCGGCTTCTGAAATTAAGATGTATGTGCATTCGTCATAGGATAGGTGCTTTTTGGCGCCGCTATACTGGGAAGCTATCCGGCATAGTATAAACGTCATACCATATTTTGGTGAAATAATTGTATGTATAACAATGTCGTACGTGTGTTGGAAAGTAAATGTAAAATTTCTAGGCACAACATAGATTTATCGAACTCTCGGTCGAACTCGGACAGTGTATTCATATTATATTAGAATGTTAAGGTTTGGAATCCAAGTGAGAATATAATCCAGGAACGACTGCGAAAAATGCAGCACAAGGTCCTCTGGTAGGAATCAAACCTACGGCCCTGCGATTTCAGAGCGCTGCACCGTAATCGCAGGGCCGTAGGTTCGATTCCTACCAGAGGACCTTGTGCTGCATTTTTCGCAGTCGTTTTTGGTTAGGTCTTAAAATGTATATATTCTCACTTGGTTTCCAAACCCTAACATTCTAATATTAATTCCACCAAGTGAAGTGCAGAATCTAAGTCATGAAGTCCACCTATTCACATTATAAACTCGCTTTTTTAGCTAAATTAGTTATGTCCTCTTATTTCACAACGAAGTCATGCGAAACGCCTATCTTGAGCCTTTTTGAGGAAGTTTTTCCCTTCCACGTCCAGCCTTCGACGCACAAACTACTGTGTGGGATTTAAATTTGGCAAATTAATTACCTTAACGCATGTAAACATAACACCACTAAGGAATCGAGTCTCTCAACGAAGATTCAAATGCTTATATCCTTTGACGTATGTATTATACTCTGTTTTGGTAAATACAAATTATATTGGGCAAATTTAAAATTTGCTACAAATTTCTTTTGTCGTTTGGTGTTGCAAATTTGTTCCCACAGCTTTTTTTAAACAAGAATATGTTCGCAGGAATTCTATATATTTATTTAAAAGTGTTCAAAGACAAAGAAACTTTTTAACGGCAACAATGTTATCGAAACCCATTATAGACAGGAAATTCATACCTATACGTCAGAAACTTCCTGTACGTACGATTTAGGACTAGCATACTGTACTTTAATATTCATTTCATCGGTTTTGAAGTCTGTACGTGTACGAAACCTTTACCTGTACTGACAAACATGTTTTAATTCCTTGAAAGTTTTTCTTAACAATTTTGACTTGACAAGATTTATCAAGCCTCTAGGACTATTCGGTATAGAGCATTTGCACGTAGCTTCACAGCCGCCGTGTTGGTGTTCCAATTCAAAAGAATTTTAATTGAATTGAAACGTTCTGATTTTACGATCAGAGAACGTTTCAGAAACTTTATTATGAATCCTGGTCGCGCATCAAGCATTTTTAATTAATTGATTAAATTATCCACCAAACCCAGCATTCTAACCAAACAGTTTAACCAAATGAAGTGCAAAACACGTCTTTTATGTTTCATATTGTCTTAAGTTGGACGGCTGGAAATTAAACACACGAGCAAGTTGAACAATTGTCGCCATTCGTACCACTAACATTTATAGATTGGTAGACCTTTTTCAATCGATTACCATGCAAAATTTTGATATCGTATTTCATTATAGGGTTTACTCAAATTTTGATCACTTTAAGGCGCATGCGCCTCTATCCGGATATCAGCGAATGGACCTATATCAGCTGGGGCCGCCTACATCCGGGGTGATAGGGTAATGACCTTATACAAAGAACCGTTTATGATGATCTATATATATTTATAAAAGCCATTATTTACATGCATAGGAACCATGCGCTGCTCTTCTGTTCTATCGATAGCTCTATACTGTTCTATCGGCAGTCGATACTTATAGCGGAGGAGATATTGAAGCCTAACCACAACGAGTCCTATCAATTAGCAATATAAACTTTGACAGGAAGTACGTCGGAATTTAACATGGATCGATCCGGCATATGCCCGTTTAATACTTTAATGTAAAATTCCCAAACCATCCCTATTCAATTTTTGCTTTAAGAAACCACGCTGGTGCTATGACAATTTTTAAAACGTAGTCTTAAAATTTTGTAATTCTGGTATTTAGACGCTGTGTGCAGGCTGCATATAAACGCTTGCTATGCAGGCCAGATGAAAGTCTGTACTCTTAGTATTCTGACTCCAGTTGCAAGTTACGCTAGTTGCACGTACTGCAGCAAGCATGATGGCCCATCTCACTTTTGGTGCAGCCTAGTTGCCCATATATTACTAAAGTAATTAACTTAAATATGAATGTGTGAAACCAAGGTGCCACTATATAAAGTGTTGAGTGGTCTTGATCAAATTCCCTGTCTCTCAACTCAAGTACAGTTATGGACTCGACTCGAGTGGAACCATTGACTCGACTTGAGTGGAGACATTAACTCTACTATAAACATGATTCGAACAGATGATGAAATGACTCGACTCGTGACTTCACCCTGTAGATGACTCGTCGCAACACTGCATGCTGGACCCTTAGTCTCATTAACGACAGAACGGTATAATGAGCCGTGCGCCAATGAGTACAACTTTTTTATCTTATTTAGAATCGTATTGCTAAAAGAAGTCGCAAGGTAGTAGATTATGACAGGCATCGACATCATTTAGAGGTTGGTTCGTGAGTTAATACTATGTAAAATTCTCATTTTGAATACGAATATGAATTTGTAATCTATACATTTTAAGTTTTTACTTTTGAAAGTGGGTAATTGTACTATATATATGTTAAAGATTGTAAAGGTTGTACATAGACTAAGCACAATTATGTGAAATGTGTTAATATTTTTTAAGACGCTGAAAGTGAAAGGTGGCAAGACAGGTGACCCCAAAAAACTAACACAGGTAGAAGACTAGCAGTGAACTTTTACAGACTTTTATACAATACCCAGTCGACGAATAGGTATAAAGGATGTGATGAAAAGGCGTTCATTTCAGGGGCGGGTGTAGCTTCATCTGCAAGAGGGGTGCAGGTTTTCTATGGGGTGGTTTATGAGGGAACCATTAGTTGAATACCATTATTTAAGATGGGCGTATACCAAAAAAATTTTCATTGTCATTTTCCCCCGGAATGCTTGGTGACGGTGGGGGGATTTTCTATTTTCGTTCCTTATCCAATTCATTTGGCAGTAGGAAAAAAATTGCCTACTGCCAAAAAACAATTTGGCTCCCCTAATTAAATCATTTCAAGAAATGGACACACGCTATAGACACACTAGGGGATTGGGGGGGGGGGGTCGCGCACCTACATATACATACAATCTTGCGTCCAAAGTATTCAATTCATTCAATTTCCGTAAATGAACGAAAACGGGCGAAACGTTTTTCTCACGTGTGAGGTGAATTGCTTCGCTTTCCCGGTTGACTCGTATGCATTGCGAAGCGAGTTTTCGCATTGGAGTGAATCCATTCGTAAAACTCAATATCTGGATAACAATGTGTTTTGATTCCTTTGAAGGCGGAAGAAGACTACAATCAAGCTAAAAATGCCTATCTTCAACTTCATTCTGATCTCTATGAAGAACTACCGGCACTTTATGATAGGTATGGCTGTAAAGGCAATTTTTGGTGCAACTTCCGACGCAATTTCTGTCATGAGCCATGTCATCTAAAAACTATAGACGAAGGGAAAATTTTGTTTTTTGTTGTCTCCCCACCCACCCCCCTCTCCCCTCCCCCCGATCACGTTTGTAAGCGATCCCCTAAGGCTAAAGTTGAGGTTCGATTCCCATCGCGGTAAAGCCGTTTTGAATTGCCCGGTGTAGAACCACTCAGAGTTTACCTGAGTTCTACTATACCGTAGTCATATCAGAGTTACGTGATATATATTACGATAAATTAAAACTTTTTGTCATGACGAAAAATTCTGACAATTGCCATAGAGTGTGTAGCGTGTAGATCAAATCTCTTATCGAAATCTAAAGAATTAAAACAGTCGAGTCTTGGCCAGGGGACCTATACTGTAATTGCATTTTTTGGCAGCTGCCTCTGATTAGGTCTTAGTAAATGCATGGAATTTACACAAGAAATTTCCATCTGCAATATCTTTCAACATTATGATGACATGTCATTTTTCTTAATCTGTAGTCGCATATCTATCTATGTGTCGTCATTTCAAAGTATCTTCACAGCTGAAGGTGTTTTTCATCGAGAAACCGGCAAGGTGAGTTTATTGCATTATTCGAGTTTATACCATAGAGATTTTAAAAGAATAGAGTGAGCATTGCAGGTAAACGAACGTGATCGGACAAATTGAAGCTTGCTAGTGCGGGTAAATTTGAGTTATATATAGGCCTATATACCCGGATGTAAAACCAAGAAAATCTATGTTTTCATCTTTTGGCTACAATTAAAGTAATTCAATCTTGGTTTTATCAACAGTCCTGACTGTTTTACATTTATTTGTGGCAAAAAATTAATTAATTTTATATCGTGGAAAATGATAAAAATTTGGATGTGCCGATGTCACGAAAAACCCATTGTTCTTCAACAACGAAAAATGCACTTTACAACATTTCTACCGTTCCCAAACTTGGTTTGTAGTAGAGTTCAGCTATTTTTGTTGATTTTGAACTTTTAGTTCTTGCTTGAACTATCCTAAAACCGGAAAAATTTTCCCGCTGCTCCTAAACATCAGGGAATGAGAATTTACATCCGGGCAATGAGATTTTAGCCAATCATAGAGCGTTATTTGCTCCCATTAGAAACCTTCCATTTGCTATATTCAAACTTGTTGCAACACATGACTGTGACAGTGTTTCAAATTTTACGATTGTCACCCCTGTCGCAGGGGTGACAATGGTACTAGTGTTTTTCCAACTCAACAGGCGTTGATACATTTAACAAGCAAAACAACTTTACTTGAAATTTGCTTGAACAGATGATTGATCACTTCTTAGCCCTGGCACTTCAACAAAGCCAAATAATTTAGCTTTGTGACTCAGCCCTTGCCCTTCAAATTTGGCATAATTCAGCACGACTTCTTTGCCTTTCCCAACTTTCCCTTTTGGATTCTTGTCTTTTTCCTCTTTCTTGTTTCCTTTTAATTTCACCTTTGGTTTGACTCCAGCTGTACTGCCGTCCATTTTGAGCCTACTAATTGTGGTAGCGCCTACGATGTTATGACAGCTTTAACATGTAAATACGAGGAAATTTCGACGTGGTTGCCTTTTAAGGTGTATGTACCTTAACACGAGGAAGGAAATGTGAAATAGAACTAACCATAATGCAAAATCCCGTTGCATGGTATTTGCGTGAAAAGACGCTATCAGTCACGAAACATTTCTTGGTAGCTATGGTAGCGTAGATAATGTAGGTTCTAACTGAAACGCAACAGCAAAACAGCACTACTTAACTACGGAAAAACTAACGAATACCAGTGACTAATAAAACTAACTAAACAATAACAAATCAAACGTACGTACTTTGGTTTACACTCGTATACTCAATACCCGGTTGCGATATATAGATATAATTAAAGTAGAAATCCACTATTTGAATAGGTTGCGTTCGCAAGTATTTTCTATACCACAGTTATTTCAATACTAAAAGGGTGTGACCTAATGTCACGCAAACATGCAAGGCTGCCCCAAAGGCATTTCGTAATGAATCTACGACACCATCCTGTTTCTAACTAACAGACAGTATCTGTCTACAGCCGTAATTCTCACCTCGTAAAGTTGAAATATACTGTTTCAGTCTCTAGTAATGGATTTTTAATTCAATTTCAAACTCCATATTGTGCGCATGCTCACATCACGTAACACATGGACCAAAAGGCCGCAATGTACCTTTAAATAAAGAACCTGTCTTCTTATAATAAGATCAAAACTGAAATGAATGACCTGCTGGACGTCTTGGCGAAGGAAACATCAGCAGGAGCATACTCCACACGACGACCACTTAGTGGAATAAGGTAAGCAAGGCCAGACTTTGGGTCTGTTCATATGAGGATTTGTGCATCTCACTCATAGATATCTTATATACACTAGATAGTGCATCTAATTATTCTGCAATTCAAAAATTGAAGCCGTGATTGCAGACTCCGGATATTCCCATGAAATGAGAAGACTCGTATGTTTTCTATTTCTTAAAGAGGGAACTTAAACATTAGGTTAAACCTATTCCAAATACATTTTCAAACTATTCAAATGATGAAAGTTATTGTTGTTTTTTAAGCGTTTATTAGCGAGTGGGCAACTCCAACATGGCCGCCATCTATTCAAATGGGGGGAACCGCTGCAATATTCTTGGCTTCAATTTTACTAAAAGAGATGCGCTATCTAGTGTATATAAGATATCTATATGATCTCACTCGATTCAGCTAATTGTTGAAGGGTTTTTGTACAGCAGATGAAAATATCGAGTGTGAATTTTATTCATTTATTACACCTAAACAGGAGCTGTTGCGAAAAATGCAACTATTTTGGCATGTCGAACAGGGTTTTACAGGTTAAAATCGGAGGGGGGGGATGCCTATCCCGCTCCGGTAACTTGACTGAGATCCCATTTAGCGCAAGGTGAGATCTCACTTAACCGGGCTGCCTCGTTTCTCGTATGAACACAAATTGAATTTTGCCTGCGTTAACTAGGGCATGTGGATCTTCACTGAGGTGAACACATATTTTCAGATAAGGTGCATTCCTATTTCTTCAGTACAGCCTCGAATTCTATAAAATATGTCGGCATAAATATTGAAAAATTCTATATGTGCTGATAAACTTTAGGAATTGATAAAAGCGAGCTTTTATGTTCTTTATTTATTTTCCATTTCGTATTTTCCAATTCCTAGTATGAACTACTTTGAAGATCGGCCGATTGTACGATTTAGAATGCTGAAGATATAAGCTTGACCCTATGTTGTATAAATTTCACTCCCCCCGGCACCCCAAAACTTTCTTCCATTGAATTTTAAATATCTTAGGTACTAGAAATACATGCATGCAACAACCCCTCGCCTATATTTTCCAAACATTGTTTCAACATGAAGTATTCATAATTACGCCAACACGAATCACGATTTTTTAAATTTTTGTGCAAAGCGGAAAAAAATATATGAAACTTGAACACTTTTAAACACAGAACTATCAATTTCTAAAATAGGGGTCGGCTATTTTGCGAGCTGCGAGTTGCGAGTCGCTAGCCTCGCTTTGAATTAGGCTTTGAAAGTATATTAATATGGACGACATGGAAGGGAAAGTCGAAGGGTTTTTTGTTTCATAAATATAATGACCTTCGAAGTTAAGGTCCCTGTAACTAAGACTTCGACACAAAAGAAAATGCTACGATACGGACGAGATAAAAATCAGCCTTTACTTGTTTTTTTACTTTGTTAGATCCATCGATACGTATGTTCAAGAATTAAAATAATTATATTGAAAATAAAAGTGCAAGTTTATATTTGCCGTTTCTGTGTTTAATAAAATCTAGTAGTTATCCAGACCATTTTGTGCTGTCTAATCTTAAAATGGTTATTTAATTTTATTAGTAAGTATGACCAGACACCGACTCAGTTTGTTTATATATACTGAACGCTGGGAACCCCATAAAACTCAAGTCCTTTTCATCGGAAGTACAATTTATTTTATACAATTTATACATAGACATACATATACATACATAAACTTTATCTAAACACGGGAAAAACCATCAGTATATCAAAACGATTGCTATTTACAAGTTTGTAAGTATAAAAATAAATGCAATGAATGTTTATTTCAAAAGCTGAAAATTGGCGCCAAATTGAGACAAAGCTAAAATCACATCCGCCAGGATGCCATACAGTTTTCAATTTGAATTTTTAGTGTAAACCACAGGTGTAAACACCTGGTTCGGTGCTTCAAAGCTAGGTTAATGTTAACCCTGGGTTAAAATTAAACCCGAAGTTATTAGAAATTAACAATATACTCGTAACTCGCAACTCGCAGCTCGCACTATAGATAATCTCTCTAAAATATATAAAGTAGGTATATTATTTTGGTTTCTATGGGCTTTATTTTGATGTAAAATTCAAAACGAAACTCTACGTAAAACGTTTTTAAATGTGAATTGAAATCAGCTGCTTTTTGCCGATATTTATATAAACTCTTCAACTCAAGCTTCTACGTATTACTCGCACCTTGAAAGGAAATAAATTTAATTCGTACAGGACGCTGATGAAAATAATTTGCTTTCTTTTTTATAATGAACTTCTACAAAGGTTAATTTAACTAAGAAACGTTCGCAAACAATGCACAGGAATGACTTGAACATCAAGAACAATGTCCAAGCACATTAATACAAAGTCATACATAAACAATTGAAACAAACTTGCCCTACACTTTAGGATTTCTCATACTAAATCAATTCTTATAAATGTTTACGTTTACTGTAAAAATGATAAAACGTTTTACAATTTGTTTTGTGAAACGATTTTCCAAGCTTTCCGACATGCATTTTTTATATTTGTTGCCTCTTCACTCCTGACAAACAGCCATATTTTGAGATCAGTGAGATGACCACCCACCGAACTACTCACGGTAACCCACGCCCGCGGTCATTGATGAACTTTAGACTTCGCTAATGCTTTCATTTCCCCGGGTGTAAATAGCCGAGGAGAATTAGTACCCTCGCACGGCGCTTCGCGCCTTCGGCTCGGGGATGAACCTAAATATTATTGTGGGGGGGTGCTGTATATCGTTTGATACGTTATCTTCCGTTTTTGTATAGCAATGTGTCTTCTGATGGTGACAGCTCTCCCGAAAACTGCGCAAAAAATGATCAAACTGACGGCAAAACGGCAAAACATGATCACACGGACGAAAATTCCGAAAATGAAACGTCCGAAAATGATGAAGGTGTAAACCACGGTATTACATATATTCATGCATATAGTAAAAACCACTGTGTATGTGTGGGTATATGTGTTTGTTTGTTTGTTTGTTTGTTTGTTTGTTTGTTTGTTTGTTTGTTTGTTTGTTTGTTTGTTTGTTTGTTTGTATTACTATTATGGTTCTGCTATATTCTACTTTCCGCTCTTTCCTACTATATTATTGGTAATAGTTGGCCTGGTGAATGTTTTGGTCTGCAACTGTTGTAAACTTGTCCCATTGTACATGAACTTTAGAAAAAAAATTTTTCAAACAAACAATGAAAGTTCAATAAAATAAAATAAATCTATTTCAATATTAAATCAATTCTCGGAACCGATACAAGAGAATGCGAGAAATCGGATCTTGTCCACGATGCTTAAGGTAAACATAGAATCAACCAAAACTCCGGCCAAAAGCACGTATAGTGATGCAAATGATGAATAGCGTGTGCAACTTCTCTATTGTTCTTTACAGGTAACGATGAGACGGAAAAGCCTCTTTCGGACAACACTTCAACGGAAGTGGAAATAAAAAATGACATTCCCCCACCTCGTCCTCCTCCAGTGGCAATAACTGAACCTATAGAAAGACCTCCATCACCAAACACTGCTGAAGCAGTTCAAGACGCTGTCGAACATGAAGGGAAAACTGAATCAACTGATGCTGTCGAGGTAAGGTTATCAGTTCATTGTTGTATGGTAATGGACAAGAAGGAGTTTTTCAAGATGGCGGCTATTTTTCAAGATTGTTAATACATTAAAGAATCGACAACAAGGCTCTTATGACAATGCTAAAGCTTACACAGACTGTGAACCTAACCCCAATTATAACCCTAGCAATGCTTAACTAAAGCAGTCTCTGAGTCGAAATTTCGAATTATCTTGAAAACATCTATCCGTATTAACCATTACCATCAGTTGACCGTGTTTAGATAACAACATCACGCACGTAGAATAGATAATAAGAATGGATTAATAATCCGTTCTGAAATAGTCTAAAACCCAATGGCTTCGACAGCACAGTTTTCAAATCGAACTTCTTTAATCTCTGAGATCGTGGGTTCCATTCTCGCTCCACATTCACGATACTTACATGAAATGAGGCAACGCTCTGCTGAAAGTTATCGGTTTTCTGCAGATACTCCAGTTTCCTCCCACAGGGAATATCCCCAAACTGACCCTTCCATCGGCTGTTGTGCTCCGTGATCAAACGTAGGCGCCCTTAAGCCCGTTCTCTACTAGGCGAATTTGTTCGCGCGAACAGTAAAAAAGTAGGAACTAAAGGCCGTTTTCCACTAGGCGAATTTTTTCGCGCGACGCGAAGCGAAAACCGAAATCCGGCAACGTGATTGGTCGGCGAAAAAATTCGCGGCGAAAAAGTAGGATCGCTTCCTACTTTTTATCTGTTCGCGCGAACAAATTCGCCTAGTGGAAAACGGGCTTAATCCAACTTTTTCCCGGCGAATTTTTTCGCTGACCAATCACATTGCCAAGATTTGTTTATCGCTTCGCGTCGCGCGAAAAAATTCGCCTAGTGGAGAACGGGCTTTAGTAAGCCTTGTGCTCGATCTGGTTGAGCTGCGTCTGGTAACTCATCTCTGCTTTCATCTTTAGTAAGGATGATTAGCACACCGTCCCCCTCTTAATTACTGAAAATGCATCAGAGAATTTGACTTGAAATTTGAACCACATTGTTATAATTTTACCCGATTGTTATAATAATTGTACAGTAATTATTGTCTTTTCTGATTGATACCATTTGATCACTCCGCAGAAAATTGTTACATTTTTTAAGCTCGATGACTTTTTATCTTTCTTATCCTATCTATTCATAACAAAATCGCGTCCAAATTGACTGTAATTTTCACAGTATGCCATATGTGGATGTCTCTAAACAAAATATAACGAATTTACCCAAATTTTACGTAAAAATGTCCAAATTTTAACTTGAATATTATTTGATTTTCATGCCTGCCTTTTTTTGTAAAGGCAGCCAATCCTCGAATGCAGCTGGTCTATGCCGGCACAACCATTAACTTCCTGCTTAGATGACTACAATCATGGTGAACTTAATTTAACTTGTTCATAAAATTTTAGTTTGTCTCCGTGAGAGTTAGTGGAGTGCAATTGCCAAAAATTTCGATCCATTTTATCAACAGTTTTGTCCACTTGATTGTAGCTCCACAGGATTCAGTAAATCAGCCAGTAACTCCAGCTTAAAATGGCTATCTGCCATTCTCCACATGCATGAGTCAGCCAGTAACTCCGGAATTTAAATTTAACTTTTTAAGTTTTGAAACACTTATATTTTGAATTTGGAGTTTGCCCTTTACACTATTGGAAAATTAAGCGTCGCCCATTGCTCGTTAACCTCTGCAGTCATGTTCGGAGTTGAGGGGTTTACACCCTCCCCCACCCCTCTGTGCTCGCTAGTCGCTACATCCTCGGACTCAATGCAATTCTTCCATCGTTGCCAGGACAACACACCAGCGGAGAACGAAAGTGAAGCTACAAGTGAGAAAGGTGGCACTGAAAAAGGTGTCGTGGAGAAAGTTGCCGAGGAAAAAGATGTCGAGGAAAAAGATATCGAGGAAAAAGATATCGAGGAAAAAGATGTCGAAGAAAAAGATGTCGAAGAAAAAGATGTCGAGGAAAAAGATGTCGACGATAGAGGTGTCGAGGGAAAAGGTGTTGAGGAAAAAGCTGTCGAAGAAAAAAATTCCGACATTGATTTGTCCCGTGTATTATATAAGGTGAGTATATTTTATCGAATTTAAAATGTGTAAAATGAATTCGTGATATTTCTTCCTTGTTTTGATCAATGGAATAATTAAGTTATATATCGGAGTTTTTACACAATAATTACGTCAAACAATTGTTTGAGGTAGGCATGCGGTTTAGGGACAACCGAGCGAAACAAAAATTGTAGCCTGGGGGTGAGAATAAATTCTGAAATCGACAACTGCACGGTGCACGACTTAGGCAAATCCTCCTCCAATAGCTTTTGAATTTGCCCCAATAGCTACTTTAGGCTTTAGACTGGGGTTGATATAGTCATTTACTACAGGTTTAGAAGATAGCTAGTTCCACTCTCTCCACGTGGTTTTGGAGTAAGCTATATATGTAAATCCTGAATTTATAATTCAAAGTTTTTAAATAGGAAATTTTGGAGCTAGGCCATAGAATGTGGAGTCCATGGCTCTCTTATTCAAATGGCTCTGATACGACAGATTGTTTGACACGTATCAATCCAGTTAATAACATCCAGTTAAAAGTTCGTGCAGATATGTTTCGGCGTTTACATGCACACACTACTACAATAAGATTTACCATTACGTTTCATACAAATATGCACACTGTAAACAACCGAGCCAGGGTGAAACGGCCGCCGGTGCAGATCTTGGTGGTATAGTAGCAAATATTCAAATGACAACTTCGAAGACTGAAATGAAGAAAGGAGGTCCTGGTCAAATTAGCCAGACCAAACTAGGAAAACCCTTAAATTTACTGGAAATATAAAGTTAGTTGAAATATAGGGTTATTTCTAGGTAAACCAAGGAAATTTTAACCAGTGAACGTATATTTAGAGTGTAGTTGTTACAGTCAAACTACAAGAACGTTCCCACTTCCACTTTTGTAGTGCGTTGCCATTTACTGTATTTTCTTCTGCATTACTGTGGCGATTACGGAAAACAGTATACGTCGGTAAAATGTTTTTGCAATTATTGTATGCTCATGACTCCACTGATCTGGTTCCCTGGGGCCGGTTGTATAAAACTCTTAATCACTTTTTTAATCACTATTTTGTAGTTAAATAGTGATTAACTCTCAAATAGGCGCTTCTTATTGGATGACGTTTCCACTTAACTATAGTTAACTTTAATCACTTTTTTATACAACCGGCACCTGCAATTCTTCTTGTGTCTTAAATTTTTAAAGTTGAACAATATTTTTAATTTACTTTCATAATAGTTCTATTATTTCGGCAGGTCTATACATAAGGATTAAGGAAATTGCTAGCTAAACGTAATTGTGAAAATGACATAACGTCGAATTTTTTACTGCAGCTAACATTCTGCAAAGGATACATTTTCCCGTAGATTCATTGCATGTTGACTGCAATCTAGCCTAAAATATATTCGTCTGTTTTTATTACGCAAATGTCAGTTGACTTGCACTTGAAAGGTTTCAATTTAGCTCAGCCAGTCAGCGGCTTGCGCTAGGGTGTGACACGCGAGGAAGAAACACTGAAGATCAAATTAAGCCACACTGTCCCACGTAAAGGCAACGCTACAGTAACGCGAGTCATAGCGGTATCTTGGCGTTAGGATACGGGGTAGGCACTCACCACTGAGCTACAGAGTCCATGCAGTGAGCGAGCATTAAGCACAAGTTCTTATATATGTACTAGGTGATTCCAGTGCAAGGTATACGAGTAAATATTCAAGATTTTTATCTCGCTCGATAAAACTGAATATTGGACTTTGTATATGGTTTTGTAGTGGTTTTGACTTTTTGATTTTCATTGGGAAATTTGAAATCTAGGTTGAAGCGACTCATCCTTACACAGGAGAAGACGAAGATGAACTGACATTTGAAAAAGGAGATATTATACAAGTTGTACCTTATAATGAATCTGATGATCCGGTATGTTCATATTTATTTCTAATAGTATGTGTATATATCAATTTGACACATGCCAGTTTAACACATTTTCAAAAACAGCATAAAGAAAAAAATATTTAACTTTTGGGGCAAGTCCCTTCTTCAGAAACGATCAAATTACATTAAGCACCGTCCACAGTTTTTATAGTCGCCCCTACGTGAAATGTACATAAATTAATTACTTTCCTTCCTAATGTTTAACCCCAACAGAAAATTACCCCGAGTGCCCCTCCCCGAAAAAAGCTCATACATTTGCTGTCCACAAATATTTCTGTTACCCTTTCCATACCTTTTTTCTGTGTTGGTGCTGTGTACTCAGGTGAATATGATATTTGCGATGTTACTCCGAGTGTATATCCACACCGGGCAAACTTGAAAAATATGCCTGGCCACGGTGGGAATCGAACCTACGACCTTTGGAATACCAGCCCAATGCTCTGCCAACTGAGCTACGCGGTCAGGTCGGTTCGAGTATGTGATATTTTGGAACTTCCCATACCTATATTTAAGCCTTTAAGTGGCAATGCGCCCCCCCCCCCCACTTTATTATTTTACTCTGTCTAACGCCAGATTATTTTACTATGTCTAACGCCAGATTATTTTACTATGTCTAACGCCAGACGATTTTACTCGTCAGGGATAGAGTGCTGCCACTCAATGGGTTAAAGAACTTTTGTGAACGGCGTAATTGAACAACCACATACTGCATATTACACGTCTTACAATTTACTAAATAAACCACCCCTTCCGAATTGCACCATCAACATAACTCTCAAAAGATGACCAACCATAACGTAATCACCGACCTTACATTTCTTACTTCCACATTTGAACATCCCCACGACTGTATCCTTTTCCTTGGACAACATCGATTGACCCAAATGACCCTTGAGATTTTTACTTCTACGAAAACATGTCATAGGTGGCTCGGCGTAATGTTCGAAGAAAGAAACGTCGCGTGTTATTTATGGAAAGCCTTTTTTTAACGAAGGACCAAAGAGTATCGATTTGCTTAGAATATGCAAGGGGAAATAATTTTTTCTGTGATTCATACTTTGGGATAACACACGTTTTGGTAGAGTTTCGTCGAAACAATACTATTTCCGCGGCGTTTAGCAGATGCACTATCCAGTCCTAGTTTTTAGATGTGTTTGAGGATTCTTTTGCTTTTGATTAATTTTTCATTTTTTTTTTCCGTAGGACGATGGATGGTTGTTAGGTATTGTAGAAAGTACTGGGGTTAGAGGAGTTTTCCCTGAGAACTTTACGAAGAAATTGGAGGCGTGATATTTCCTTGCATTTTCTTTGCTGAGTTTGAGTATGATCTGGTGGCCTAAACATCGCATATATTAGGTGTTAAATCTGATGTAAATGACCTATGCATCGAGCTCGGCATTGCAAAGTTCGATGTCTGAAATGGTAAGGCAAAAAAATTACCTGGGTTTCCGGTTTTCCGACCCTATCTGCAATCGTGGCAAAAATTCCGTGTACACTTGGTGTAAACGAAAGTATTACTGTTCACATACACATGTTCACTGTTCACGTGTTTGTCTCCCCCGCTCTTCCCTACAATGTTGGTTACAACATGCATTTAACAAAGCTTTCACCTAAGACAATTTATAGGGATGGGGGAAGGGGGAAGTAAAAAATTTTGCAAATTGTGCACGTGTGTGTTCGGGAAGGCAGGTATTTCTGCGCGCACTGTTCATAATAATTTTTTCAGGATTGTGGCTTTTAGACAGTGGAATCACCGACCCTAATAATTTTATCTGAAATTTGCAAAGAGTTTGAAGCAATGTTTCGGCCCAAAGTTGATATAATATTTACCAAATGTCTGTCTTTTGTGCTGTCGTAATTGACGTGGAATACCATTCTCATGCATCAGTATTGATAAAAAATAATACACAAGAAGAAAACCCGACCACCTTGTCCTGAGTTTTTGCAACACGAAATAAGAAACCCAGGGGTTTTTTTGTAGCTAAGGTACATATCGTTATGCTTCGTATAGGTTTTTGTGGCAGTCAATATAATTAGCTATTCATGATCATGGCCTTGTGGCGACCTTGTCCGCCATTTTTGGCTGGAAAACAGTAGACAGCAACAAGCTAGAGAGTAAACTTAGAGAAGTTGATACCCAGTACTAACTCTTATCCTTTAGGTTATCCTGCCATGCTCATTGCCGAATGTGACGGCCGTTAGGGAATGAGTTTAATTTTGAAGTATGTTGAAAACCTCCCTCTCGCCCATCCCTTTTAATCGTTACTATCCTTTGCTGCTGCGCTGTTTGCCATCCAAAAATGACGGACAAGGCCTGGTGGTATGGTATGCAAATGACTAGTTGCTTTGTCTTTTGTGTGGGAGCACCAGGATTATTTATTTCGCAAAGCTTTCGATCCGTAGAGCCAGCTAGATCATTGTCAGAATAACTCTGCGCCCACACACCACCAAATGTTAAAGCGATACTTGCAACCAACATGGCAGATGAATGTGCACATTGTACATCTCCAGTTATGGTTATGTGATATAATGCTGCCTAGAAATGGTAGCTTACGCATGGCAAACATCGATTCAGATAACACGTGAAGGTGAAAACACCGTTAGCTGGTATATATAGTTCGCTAGCTTTATTGTGAGTCTGATGGTCCCGAGATTAACTGCTCACGCTGGTCGTGATCATTTCAGGTTAAGTGTGGGACAAATGCTTTGTCATTCTGTTGGTTACTGTGTATTTATATGGATGTAAACTTTATACATCTCATATGACATAATGCTGCCATCTTCGTGACTAGTGTCGCTTATTAATGTGGGACAATGTCACTTAAACATCCACACAGAATAGCACTCATAGACGTCCGACGTCTAGTCGGCGCCTTTGATATTAGCGTAACCGCTGCCACGCCATTGTTCGCAATCGTAAAGTACTCGCCCATGTCCCTAGCTAGTGGCGCTAAGGAGAAGCCTTCACCTCCCCCCACCCAACCCCCCTCAAAGCATTTAAAATGGCCAGCTTGGGTGTTCAAGAGGTACTCTTAGGTGTTCAAGAGGACGAGTGCTTCTCGTAAGCGCACTGGTTCGGATCATGGCGATTGTTTTATGGCGGCGGTTATAGGTTTTTGGGTGAGTTGAATTTTTGTATCGTATGTACTCTGTGACATTAGCTTTTTGAGGCATTTTTTTCCGCATGTTTGACATCTGTTGAAATATCTATTTTGTGGTATTGTTTTCTCTGCAAATAATCTGGGTTTTTACGGATCGAAAGCTTTCCCAAAATGATAATCATGGTTTTTAAAAACATTAAATAATGTTGTAATCTGTAACTCTGTGTAACTAGAATTGGTAGCTTAAACATGGCAAAACACGTATTTGGTAACACATTAAGGTGAAAACACCGTTAGCTTGTATATAGTTTCGCTAGCTTTATTGTGAATCTGATGTTCCCGAAATTAACTGATTAAGATGATCATGCTGGTTGTGATTACTTCAGGTTTTAAAGTGGGACAAATGCTTTGTCATTTTGTTTGGTTACTGAGTATTTACACATGTAAACGTTGAAATATATTATTGTTATATCGAATGTTGTTTACTATTCCCGTAAAAATTGATTGATTATAACAATTGCTTGCCCTCCTTAGCCTGCTCCCAGTCCGAAATTTCATTCAAAGGAAAACCGGATATTTGGGTCTGCTAAATTGCGAAGCTAATCGTGTGCCGTGACGTATGTACTTACATGGACATAAGTAACGCACATTGATTGTTTAATAGTCAAGTCAACCTTAAAGTGCATTTGACATGAAATTTCTTATTTTCTTAAATGAAAGAACTCTTTAAGTTGTAATGTAACTTATTTTTCAGTTTCTTGTTTTTATGGTTTGTTCCCGAGATATTTCAATTTGTTTGATATGTAAATGAGTGTGAATGTGTCCGCTAATTTATGACGTCATGTTGGTTGCAAGCTCAACTTACACTGGTTATAAATGTATTAACTCTAAAAACTGTTGATATCAGTTTACGTGTTTCATCACATTTACCAGTGACTGAAGTTTGAATTATCGTATTGGATGATAGCAGTGATATTCAACCATTTTAAAGAGTTTGCAACCGACATGACGTCATAAATTAGAGGACATATTCACACTCATTTACATATCAAACAAATTGAAATTTCTCGGGAACAAACCATAAAAACAAAGAAACTGCAAAATAAGTTACCTTACAGCTTAAAGAGTTCTTTCATATATAAAAAAAATTTAATGTCATATGCACTTTAAGGCTATTTTCCATTGCAGTCGCTTTGCCCGCGCACGTGAAGCGACCAATTTTAATCACGTGAAAAATCAGTCGCGCGGGCACGCCAAGAAAGTTGAATGTAGTTCAACTTCAATGGCGTGTCCGCGAGCAGTCGGGCGGACCAAAAATTCACAGGTTAGGCAACTAGAGAGAAAGTTGAGTAATGTTCGCTCCGCCCGCGCGGGCATGCAAAGCGACTGCAATGGCAATCGGCCTTAAGCCGCGTCATGATTCGCTTAAATTTCTGAATTAATTTAATAATATGTTCTGTGATAACATCATTCCGTTTACAACATGGCCCACGTCTATGTGAAAGACGCTCTTGCAAGTGTTTGTTCGGCATGTGTTTGTTTTTTCTATCTTGTTTCCTGTTAGTATTTCCTTTCTGGTAAACCGCTAGTGAGCTTCGCAACAACCAAGTAGACTTGATCTTTTTTCGTAGTACATGGCGGTTAGACGTGTTATTTTGAGCACCGCTAGCCCGAGACAAAATTTAGCTAGTTTGTTACTCGACTTTGCCAATGATGATTCCTTGAGCACAGGTGAAATTTACCGTACCAGAAAGCAAACCGAATGGACATTTAAATCGCTTGGCCTATCCTGGACGGGTGATTTCGAATCACTAAAATACTTTGTAGCTGACTCTTTGAAGCTGAATGGTACCTGATCTCAACCTGGAGGCGATAAAAAGGTTTTTGTTGCTGAGGACGCTTCTATCATATGGAGAAAGAATTGTGAGAGAGTTAGAAGTAGAACGTTATGTAAGAACAATATAGTAGCGACCACGAGGAGAGAATATTCAAGATGGCGGACTCAGTAAATTTATTGTTTGTATAAGTCTATATGTTTGCGTATATTTTATTATTAAAAAGAAACAAATTCAATATCCCGCGGAAGCCTTTAGATCCTAAGTCTCTTACATGGTCCTTATTCGAGCCGGATGTACGTTTAAATCAAGGGAAATCGAGAATTTGTTTACGAACTTGGCAAACATCGTTGATCGTGAGTTGAATAATTAGTATTCATATATTCAAAGTTTATTGGTGAAAATACTGCGTAAAATCGTTGATTATTCAATGATCGAGTATTCGAGTTAATCCTGGACTTGAGAAATTTATGAAACCCTATATCCATTCTATACAAGATGACTGAAGAAGAATTAAAGAGGAAAATTAGAGTCCGCGGGGGTCACCGGGCTTCAGCCAAACGCATAATTGCCGCAGCTGAAGAAAGTCTTCAAGTATTCGACCCAAACAACCCAGAAGCAGTTATTAAGGTGAAACAGCAGCTGACCACCCTCAAGGAAAAAATGAAAACTCTGAGTGTGCACGATGAAGAATTATTAAGTTTGGTAAAGGAAGAAGAAATCGAAAACGAGATTGAACAAGCTGATATATTTAAGGAACGATTACAACACTCGATAGTAAGCATCGAAATGGCACTAGAGAAAATTGTAAACGAGACATTGGCTCATGGTAGCACTGTTAGTGGCACATCACCCAGCTCGTCTAATGTAAGTCAAAATTCATCTTATTCTGCTACTGTAAAATTACCAAAGTTAAGCTTGAAAAAATTTAGTGCGGATGTCACAAAGTGGACAACATTTTGGGAGTGCTATGAATCTGCTATTCACAATAATGCTAATCTCACAAAGATTGAAAAGTTCAATTATTTAAAATCACTTTTGGAACATTCTGCAGCAGAAACTATAGAGGGACTGCAGTTAACAAATGCAAACTATGATGAAGCAATTAAGATCTTGAAAGATAGGTTTGGAAATCAACAAATTATTATCAATAGCCACATGGAAGCCCTGTGTAATATACCAAATGTTGGAAGTATTGACAATGTCAAAATGCTTCGTCAACTTTATGACAAAGTAGAAACCCATGTGAGAAGCCTTACAAGTCTTGGAGTCAATTCAGGCTCATATGGGAATCTAATGATTTCAATTCTCATGAATAAGCTACCACAAGCAATGCGTGTTATTGTTACGAAGGCATTGGGGAGCACATGGACCCTTGACAAAATGTTGGATACTGTTAAGTCTGAATTAGAAGCCCGTGAAAGAGCCAACATGTTGAGTTCAAAAACCAGCAAGCAAACCACCATATTCCCCACATCCAAGGCGATACAGCAGTGCAGCAACCCTCCTAAACAATGGAACCCCTCCGACATGCACTTATTGTAAAAATACCCATCCCTCAGCTCATTGTAATGTTGTCACCAACCCAAACCAAATTAGGAAGTGGCAAGCCAATCTTTAACCAAGGAGAGCAGAAAGTCTTAGGTTTGCGATGGAACACCGCGACAGACTGTTTCGTTTTCGACCTAAAGAGCCTTGTAGAAAATGCAAAGAATTGCGAACCAACAAAACGAAACATTGTTAGTGGGGTATGAAGTATATACGACCCTGTTGGATTCCTGTCGCCAATAACAATTCGACTTAAAATCCTGCTACAAGAGCTGCATGAAAGAAAAATCAGTTGGGACGAACCACTAGACGTGACGTCGAAGTCAGCATGGTTCAAATTAGTTGGAGAACTCGAGAAGGTCGAACAGATGGTCTTCCCTAGATATTTTGTCGTCGGCGTAGAGGAAGAAGTTTTGTCTTATTCGCTACACGGGTTCTGCGACGCCTCCGTCAAAGCGTATGCCGCAGTAATTTATCTAAAGATGGAGACATTACATGGTGTATACGTAAGGTTCGTAACGTCAAAATCGAGAGTGTCTCCCCTGGAAAGACAGTCGATTCCACGCTTAGAACTATTGTCAGCGCTCATACTCGCCCGGCTTATCGATAATGTTGAACGAGCATTGAAATCAGTCATAAATAATAGAAAGATATAAATAATTAGATAATAATACACAGTTGCGTTCCTTGTCGACGCTTCGAGGGAAAGCCATATAACCCAGCAGACCCACCACCATTACCCAAATCCAGAATAGTAGAAGACCCACCATTCACATGTACGGGTATTGACTTTGCTGGACCATTATATGTTAAAAACGAAGATAAATCCAGCTTAGAAATGGCGAAGACGTGGATATGTTTATATACATGCGGCGTAACACGAGCTGTCCACCTCGAACTTGTCCGAGAAATTTCGACGGAAGCTTTCTTGAGAAGCTTTAAGAGATTCACCGCAAGACGCGGGGTTCCAGCCAAGGTTATATCGGACAATGCTAAAACCTTTATCTCAGCCGCAAAGAAATTATGCGCCCTGTTTGATCTACCTGAAGTGAAATGTTATCTATCTTCCAAGAAAATCCAATGGTGCTTTAACATAGAAAAGGCTCCCTGGTGGAGAGGCTTTTTCGAACGATTGGTAAAATCAGTAAAACGATGTTTGAAGAAGGTTCTAAAGAATTCGAAGGTAACATACGATGAACTACTAACCATTGTAACCGAAGTTGAAGCTATCCTTAACTCCAGACCGATATCATACGTGTCATCCGAAGATATCGAGGAATCGCTTACTCCTTCGCACTTGTTGTGTGGTCGACGTCTTCTATCATTACCCAACATTGTCAATGACAACGACGAAAAGGATCCAGACTGGCAACCAAACAAGAGCGAGATTGTCCGTAAAGGAGTACATCTGGAAAAACTAATCGAACATTTTTGGAAAAGATGGCGTAATGAATACCTATTGGAACTTAGAGAATCACATCGCTTGAGAATCAAGAACACCCCACAGAGAAGAATTGTTCGAGTAGGAGATGTGGTTGTCGTTCGTGATGACACGCCAAGAGTTTCGTGGAAAATAGGTCGAGTCGAAGAACTGATTACTGGTAAAGATGATCAAGTCAGAGGAGCGGCAGTCAAGATTAGTAGCAAGGGAATGAAACCTAGCAAACTAAGAAGACCAATACAGGCGTTGATCCCGTTGGAGATTAATGACGCAGAAAACGAAGACGCTGAAAGAGAAAACCCATCCAAGAAGAAAGACGATCCAGAGGAAACAGTTGAAACATTAAAACCAAGAAGAAAGGCAGCCGTCGCAGCAGATGAACTACGAAAGCAGTGGCTACAACAGCTAAGTTGAACCTTTAACATTTCAGTATAGAAGATTAGCTATTATTACGTTTTAAGAATTTGTTGACATTATGTTGTTGATCGATGAGGTTATATCGATCAACGGGGGGAGTGTGAGAGAGTTAGAAGTAGAACGTTATATAAGAACAATATAGTAGCGACCACGAGGAGAGAATATTCAAGATGGCGGACTCAGTAAATTTATTGTTTGTATAAGTCTATATGTTTGCGTATATTTTATCATTTATTATTAAAAAGAAACAAATTCAATATCCCGCGGAAGCCTTTAGATCCTAAGTCTCTTACAAGAATAAAAGCATCGTAACTATTGAAGGAGTAACGGCAAATCAACTAAAGAGGGAAGTTTGCAGATATATTTGTGATTATTCGAGCGAATCTCTCATGCTTCGACAGAAATTGAGGATCTTAAGCAAGGCAGCAGTCGAATGAGGAGGCAATTCAAGCATTGTCGGACGCGATTAGTCATATGGGCGCTGTTGTTTCGCAATTTCAAGATTTTATGGACAAAAATAATAAGAGTATTAGCGAGAAAAAATTTGACCGATCTGCCGAATACAAAAATCTACATGCTGGACATGTAAATGAAAATGTGTGATGGTGATGCTAATGACGCCGAAGGGAATAATTATATCAATACAGAGCAATTAGAAAGTATGCAGCTTATTGCCTAATATCACAATAACTTCTTGTGATGCAGAACCCATTGGTAATAAAGAACAAAATATGCTAACGACTGACAAATAACAACGGCAGATTTCGTGCTCGACCAATCGGCGCATTTGTTTACATTTTCGCTCTCAGCTAATCATAAAGCAGGAAACGAGAAATTTACACCAAGGCGAGCTAAAAAATATTGCCGTCTTCTCGGGCTTCCGTGCCATTCAATTTTAACTTTTTAAATTTAAAACCAAAAGATTATGCTGCAGCACATTAAAATCTAAAACTATGCTGTGGGCATTTTTAAATTTCGACCTAGAACGGAAAATATCCATGTTTGAAATTTTTCTCTATGTCGCGTATACAAATTTGAGTAATCTAATTTGACTGTAATAAAACTAAAAATTGCTATATTTTCTCTGCTTTACGTTTTTGTTGGAAAACTCTTTCGCTCTCGGTTGAAAATCGTTTTGGTCAATGTATTATTTCATAACCAGAAGATAACGCGTTTAGAGAGTGATTTTCTGCACAATCGGTCGGACAATATTTTTGTATTGATTTCCCGTAAATCAGGCGCTATAAACGCGTTATCGTCTAGGATTTAAAATAAAACGTTGACCAAAACAATTTGCAACAAGAGCGAAAAAGAGTTTTCCGACAAAAACGTAAAGCAGAGAAAATACAGCAATTTTTAGATCTATTGCAGTCAAATTAGACTACTCAAATTTGTGTACGCGACATAGGCAAACAATTCAAACATGGATATTTTCCGTCCTAGGCGAAATTTAAAAATGCCCACGCCACCAAAGTTTTAGATTTTAATGTGCTGCATCATAATCTTTTGGTTTTAAATTTAAAAAGTTAAAATTGAATGTCACGGAAGCAAGAGAAGACGACAATATTTGCTAGCTTGCCTTGGTGTAAATTTCTCGTTTCCTGCATTATGATTAGCTGAGAGCGAAAATGTAAACAAATGTGCTGATTGGTCGAACACGAAATCTGGGGCCGGTTGTATAAAACTCTTAATCAATTTTTTAATCATTATTTTGTAGTTAAATAGCGATTAACTTTAATCATGTAGTTAACTAGTCTCCTACGCATACCTACTTAGCGGGCTGAGCCCTCACGTAAGGTATGCTTACTTTGGCCAAGAATTCCTTTCCTCAAAATTAGCCAATCACAGCTTTACCCACGAAAATTGTGGGGCTTGACCTTTAGCTTTGACCTTGAGGCTTGGGTCGTTAAACGTTTCAAAACATTTATTAAATCTTGAACATTTTATATATTCATTTGTACGAATTCATATCTTAAACCGATTATATATGCGAGAGCTGAGAGATATATTTGTTATACCGATATACCAGTCTACAAATTTACAATATGGAACAATTGTAAAATCTGTTAGAATTTGTCGAGCTATTGTTTTGAACAGACAGTGTAGAAAAATCGAACAATATCACCTAAAATATTTCGCGATGTTTTGATTACTTTACAAGCGTTTGCAGGTGTTACTGTAACACGGGTAATATACTGGACAAAGACGTCAAGACAAAGTTTTAAAGTTACAGTGTACATTACTGCGGGTGTAGATAATAGATTTATAAATACTAATTGAAGACTACAGAATTCAGCCTATATAAAATACTGAATTTATTCATTGCATATTTCGGTTTCTAAGTTTGTATATGACTAGCCAGTTTATAAAGTTTAATAAAATCGTAATTACAAAAGTCGCTCTGATATTGAACGTTCGGAAACTTAGTACTATTTACAACATGAGCGGCCGTGTTGTATCGGATATACAAACTCGAGCCGAAAACGACTCATCTTATGAGTTCATTGGCGAAGTAATTTTAAAAATAAACGTTGTCTAAGCCGAGAAAATCAAAGATAAAGTTTATGTAAATCAACATGAATCCGTATCACATATACAGACTCCTTCAGCCCATGATTTCTTTTGTGTTTTCTTCATGAATTATTAATGATATATATATATTGTTAATAGTATATATTGAATATAATACATGCCGTCACGCAGTCGCGTCAAGTTCAAAACAAGTGTTACCAGTGAATAGCTTTATATACATTTAAGCCTTCGACCTATCGCGTACATTCGTTGGAAAAATATTCAATATTTTCTACTTCGACTGCTATTGATCAGAAAACTCGATCTATTCACATTTAAGGCCATTTAAATACGTATATACCGTATTATTATTCGATTATCGCACGCTCCTTGTTTACACTTTACAGTTGACATTCAAAGTGGGCGTGTCTTGTGTATTTGAATGCTATTGGCTAATCGAATACAATGGGAAGGCGAATTGCTAGCGAAAGTAAGCAGACCGTACGTGGCGGGCCTAAACCCGCTAAAGTAGGTCTGCATAGGAGACTACCCTCCTCCCTGCTTTTATATTAAAATAGATTTGACTCATTTGACATAAACTCATAAAGTCAAATACTTGTAGTCTTGTATGATTTCCGAGTATAAATGGCCCATTTTCCCACCAATTAAATCATAAAATAATCGTACCTTAGGGTCACAACTAGAATAGATTTCTATCAATGAAGGACTATCGCATTCGGCGAACATATAATAAGTCAACTTTTACGCCAAAGCCCAAATGTTGTCGTTATCCGTAAAACTAGAAGTTCGACATCCCTTCACGAAGCAGCTCCAGTCGCTCTTTCGACACACAATCTACATAAAGATTGTCACGTCCATCTAAATCAGTAGCTTTGTTGCCACGAACAGTACGAAAATTCGCCATGATTTACAATTTTCAATTTGTACTTTTGAATATCGCTCCTTGTAAATTGAGTAGCAAACACAACGAGAGCCAGTCGAACAATGACGGCGCATCCCGGGAAATCGATAATATGAATGAGTTACAATGCATGCCGGGAAGGGCTTCCAACCTCCTCTGGTCCAACTCTGAACTCTCGAGAAAAAGAAAACACGTGCTCGCATGGCTCGTTTATATAGCCGCGCGCGTTGCATGTTGGTAAAATGACTTTCAACCAACATGCTTTGCGTCTCTAGCAAGATTGAGATTTTAAGTAGCTGTACGATTTTAGTCTGCTGCCTTGCTCGCTCGCTTAATGCTCGCTCGCTGCGGCAGCAACAATATTTCCTCAACAAATATGAGCAATAGACAAAGAAAATAACTTGTTATGTAAGATGGTGTGATCATATACACAGTAATAAATCTTTCATATGCAAGACAAACTGACAAAGGTCGCATAACAAACCAGATTGAACGCAAGAGCATGTCTAATAGTAGAATTGCAATTTTAACTTAATCGTAAATCGCAATATATTTCAGCATATTTTCTTTTGCGTCAAAGTAATTTCTGTTTTAATTCTCTGAAACAAAGCAGTACGCTTAGTTAAGTTCAGTATACGATATGGTTTGAAAGAAAAGCAGCGAATTTCTTTACTTGCCTCTGGCGAAACTGGCGCTCTGGCAAAACTGGCGCTCTGGCAAAACTAGCGCTCTGGCAAAACTGACACTCTGGCAAAACTGGCACTCTGGCAAACTGGCGCTCTGTCGAAACTGGCACTCTGTCGAAACTGGCACTCTGGCAAAACTGGCGCTCTGGCAAAACTGGCAAACTGGCGCTCTGGCAAAACTGGCAAACTGGCGCTCTGGCAAAACTGACTAGCACTTTAGTAAACTGGCGCTCTGGCGAAACTGGCGCTCTGGCAAAACTGGCGCTCTGGCAAACTGGCGCTCTGGCAAAACTGACTAGCACTTTAGTAAACTGGCGCTCTGGCGAAACTGGCGCTCTGGCAAAACTTGCGCTCTGGCAAAACTGGCGTTCTGGCAAAACTGACACTCTGGCAAAACTGGCATTCTGGCAAAACTGGCAAACTGGCGCTCTGGCAAAACTGCCGGCGCTCTGGCAAAACTGGCGCTCTGGCAAGCTGGCGCTCTGGCGAAACTGGCACTCTGGCGAAACTGGCACTCTGGCGAAACTGGCACTCTGGCAAAACTGGCGCTCTGGCAAAACTGGCGCTCTGGCAAAACTGGCGCTCTGGCAAAACTGGTGCTCTGGCAAAACTGGCAAACTGGCGCTCTGGCAAAACTGCCGGCGCTCTGGCAAACTGACGCTCTGGCAAACTGGCGCTCTGGCAGATGGATAAAAAGCCAAAAACGTACATCATTTTGGCGTATGGCATTCAGAGTCGTTATAGATGACGTAAGACATAGTTTGTATAATTGCTGCCGAAGGCAGCACACTATTCTTGACGATGTGTTTTTCTCGCACCAGTCCGTTTCCGGTCTGCGAGTTATGTGGATTCAACAAGTCATTTTTGGGAATCTTGTACGGATGATCAGATTTATGACGTTTTTGACGTCACAGAAATTTAAATAACATACTCCAGATCGCGATTTGACTTTCCGAATACCCTGGCTGAGACTCGCGAACACCACCATGGATTATTACAATTTGTAAAATGTAAATAACACGTTGCCTCGTGCCTGTTGTATTCAAGTTTTGATTCCAGCTTGCTGCAAATTTTATGTCTGGCTGTTTATCGAAATATTTTTTACGTCTGGTGATTTATCGAAAATATTCTTCAAGGTAAGATGAAAGTTTGATCACAAATAACAATGTGTTTTGGTCGAATTATTTTACCCATTGAAACGAATGAATCCACGCACTATTGGAACACACAATGACACAATTGTATACGAAGGAAAAATTATCTGACTTGTACAAAGATATTCCTATAGCAACCCAGTGTGGATTGTTGTCTGCACACAGTAACTTACCAGCAGTTACATGCATTAACATGTCAACTGACTTTGTAAAAGTATGACTGTGTAATAAATGAGATATGACAGATATGTCCAATGATTGTTAGCATAATATGAAATAATCCTACCAGCCTACATTTAATATATATTCACCTTGCTGTGTCACACACTACAGTACTCAGGATATACTATATTTTTTGATAATGCTCAAAATTTCTTGTATAGTTTTGCAATTCTGACTGAGTACAATCTTAATCATTACAAGTGAATGGTGTCATCAGAAGCTGACATATGAAACAAAACTGTCAACAAATAGATTTTGTCTCCCCATCAGCAGATTGTTCAGTTGTTTTGCAATAGGGGTAGCCTTGATTTTGAAGGTGCCATTATTATATTAAAACAATAGTTAACTTGGGACTAAAACTGACTTACTATTTCTATATATGAAATGGTTATTAAATTCTACATGATTCATTCAAATATTATTGTTTATATATAATATGATTTTGTACAGTATTCAGTGGCAAGCTAGCTACCACGGCAACTGGTCATGCCACGCCAATAAACCTGCATCTATTCAAGGTCGGCGAGAGGGGGGGGGGCAAAATACCCGAGGCCCGGAGTGCTCAGAGGGGCCTGGAAATCTCGGTAAAATTTTCGTATTTATCATCGCTTTATGTTTGTCCTAAATGAAATACGCCTATTTCGTAAAACGTACCAGATGTGAAATAGACGATTTTTCGATCGTTTTCTCAGCAAAAACAGTTAGCTGAACATCGTTCTTATTGTGTTTTTATCAGTTATGCGGCGATTTCTTGCAAGTAATTCACTTGCAATTCTCTTGTTGATTGCGATTAAAAATAGCCAGCAGGAGAGTCGAGAGGGACAGGGGCCCGGGTTCACCAATCGTAATTTTGGCCCGGCCGCCTGGGGCCCGTGGTTGGCTCTCGCCTTGCATCTATTTGAATAATGCAAATCATTAAAAACTCACATAGCACGGCCTGTTGCTTTGGCTAGCTTCACCACTGGCAGTGTTATAATTATACATACAAAAGCAAGAAGTTATAAAGCCCTGGGCAAACTAGGAAACATTGTTACGTACGGAAACATTGTTTCTTACCAATGTTTCGCCATGTTTCCAAGAGTGGGCAAACACTAGGAAACATTAGTGAGAAACATAGGAAAACATCAAATGTTTCTGAATTCACTAGGAAACATTTTTGCTTTTTGGGAAGCAAATTTTGTTTCCACAACATTGTTTCCACAGGTGGGCAAACAGGGAAACATTTGAAGAAACATCGAGAATCACAAATGTTTCCGTAACAATATTTCCTAGTTTGCCCAGGGCTTAAGTGTGGAAGGTATTCATAGAATTAGAATATTTAGCTGACCTTTGACCTTGTGCAAGGTGTTTGATATTCAAATTGCAGTTTTCCTACCTCCTGATTCCTGAACAGGTGTCTTAGGGCTGTGTACATGGTGGGATAATTTTTGATGTATTTGAATAAGTCACTAGGCTAAACCGCAGTCTTCCTTATTCTGTGCAAAAGTTCAAATGCTTGTTAACAGAACTCAAATATTGTAGAGAAGATCTTGTAGTTCAAGAAGAGTATTATTGTTGCTTGAACAACCTTTCGTTTACAGTTAACTATATCTCTAGAAATTTTTTTTGCTGAATTGTACACTGTGATTCATTTCAATACATTGAAATCATCCTGCCTCATATCTCGTCCTTGCAAAGTGGGATCTTATAAACAGCCCCTTATTCAGCAAATTGGGCATGCTGCCATTCGTTGGGGGTGAGGCAGCACTTTCCTTGCGATAGTAACTTCTAGTTACCATATATTATTGCTGCCTCGTAGAGGCAGCATACTAATTCTGTCGGTACCAGGCTTTCCGCGAGTTATGTGGAGGAGACAGGGAGAAAAAATCGAGATTAGAACAATGATTGATGACGTTTTGTGACGTATGATTCGTTTCAGTGCATAACTTCCGGTTTCTTCCCGAATCAGTCTCGTGGTGTGGTTGGCACTGACTCGTACCCAGTCGTCAATACGATTTATATAGATCAGTGTACGGAGTTTTGCGTTGCATGATGGGACCATTCCCATCATGCACCATTATTTTGTTTAATCCTCATTTGAGGGACTGGGTACGAGTCAGTGGTTGGCAAGTTTAATACAACAACATTTTTTCAAAAAATATCGAATACTCTTTCCGTTTTGGGTTGTCGTTTCAAAGTAAGTTATCCTGAAATGTTATATGTTTATATTTATCTTGAATTGCTATAGGTTTTACAGTAATATATATATCGACTGTACTTACATTTACAACATTTCTATCCCTTCTAGGTGTATATTTTGGTGTGTGTTCGCGGGGATCTTTTGGTCAAATCAAATCAAAGGGGACCGTTCATTTTATATGTTTCAAAAGCAGTGCAGTGTGAGCTCGCTGTACTTGTATTACCAAACTTGCTACTGCGAAGTGTGATCTCGCTATAATATTTATACTAGCGAAGTGTGAACTCGCTATATTTTTATATTTTATACTAGCGAAGTGTGATCTCGCTAGCTGGGCAATCGTTGGCAATAATAAAGTTGTTTCGTGTTGTCAAAAGATCAAGGTATTGTGTATCAAAAGTTACAAATATATAGGTTGTGTGTCAATAAGAAAATTGCCAATAAAAATAGTTAATATATATTACAGTAAAATGATTATGATATACAGTAAAGCCCCGCATAAAAGTTCAGTGAATCCTGACTTGCTTCACACAATACTTTTTTATATTCTACATATTAAATAGGAACTGTTGTTGCATAAAACTATTGCTATGACACTAATATGGTTGTGACATATATCCAAACTTAAAAAGTTTTTAAAAACTTGTATTTTGGGTGCTTAATTGCCAAAATTTCAGACTAGTGGTTCTTAACCTACTGGTGGGGCTTTACTGTATATCAAATAACTTATGCATAATGAAGTCTCAAGGCTTGATGCCTGCGAGAAATACTGGTCTTAATAGCCATGACCTGGGACAATTTCGATAGTGGCCATTTGCAATTGTTTCATTTTCCTGGGCGATGACTACTATTAAATTGAGCAGTATGATGCCCACATTGGAACACACAATTGTATATAATAATGCTCACAATTTCTTTCTTATTATATATATATAGTCATTACAAATAATGGTCATCTGAAGCTGATGTATTAAACAAAAATGTCAACAAAATAGATTTTGTCTCCCGATTGGCAGATTCATTGTTCAGTTGTTCTACAGTAGGGGTAGCCTTGAAGGTGCCACTAAAATGATACAGTAGTTGGGACAAAACTGACTTCA